GTCACAGACCTAAATGACTTTACCCAATTCATTTGCCCCTTGTCTCTCACCTCTCTCTCCATACCATTTCTCCTGCTTTGAGATCCCTGGAAGAAAGGTGGTAGAGAAGAGCTAAGTAGTGTTATTAAACTTGAAGCTGAGGAATCTGTTGCTGATTCATTCTGTACCAAGCCCCAATCCCCCCTGTAGACTTAAATCTTCACATCTCCCCACTGAGGGCATATCAGCAGGGTCTGTTCAGGACTTTGTGTATAAAGGGTGCTTTTGTAGGGAGGACTGCAGGAGGTATTAGCCCTTTGTTTCCAGAACAAAGGCCAGATCAAAGAAGAGGATTCTGGATGGGATTAAGTTGTCTTGGCAGAATGGTGAGGAAAAAATATAGTAGCCATGATTGTGAATTGGCCTTCATCACTGGGTGCATCTACACATGTGCTTTACTGCAGTTGACTAATTAACTCCACAATAAAGTGTCATAATCTACATGTGCTCATTTTAGGATGCAGCAAACTAATCAACTCTGCTGTAAGGCAGTACTGCCTGACACAAGTACTGTCCTACAGCAGAGTACTTGCATGCATTCAAATGCACATGTAGACTAATCGGGGCTGGCTGGGGCATGAGGGTGCTACAGTGTGGGAGCTGCCTGCCCTCATGCCCCAGTCATCCCCTCTACTGCCTGCCACCACCTGAAACCCAGGGCTGACCCCGGCCCCCCACGCCAGGCCCCCTGCTTCCGGTCAGCTGCTCCCAGGCATTTCTTCAAATTCCTTCATGAAGACATGCCTTCAACCCAGGACCACCCCAGCTCAAATTGCTGCAGTCCTGGGCGGACGTGAAAACGTTATGCCTGGGAGCAGCTGACTCCGGCACAAATTGCACCAGAGTTTATTCAGGGGCATTAATATCATATGTTAATACACCCACCATATCGAAAGTTAGCCTTAGGGTCTGGCTTAGAACCTAGATCAGGGCCATTGGTGCCTATGCTGCATGCAGTATCCTACACCGTTTCCATGGACATTTAGCAAAAGGATCATGTTCACCCTATGCTCTGACTTGCAACTCTAAGAAAGACAGGAACATTACATTCAGGGACTTGAGCTACGATGCTACAACTGTAGGATCAGGAAAGCCCTCTTGTCCCAGGTAACCTGATAGGTGCTCAGATACCACATCAGAGCTGCCAGTTACTGTTGCCCAGAGAAGAGGAATGATCACCATCCTCAGTAGCTGTAGGTCTGCTGTCATGATAATGAGCAACATGTTCCTGGATAGTAGCCTTGTCTCTGAGCCAGCAACTAGCTCTGCCACATCTAGGCCTTCTAGCAGTGGGACCAGTGTGACCAGCATCTTTCTTTTGCTCTTTAGACAGCTTGTATGAGGTAATCCCATTTTTTAGCCGTGAAAAGCCAGTTGTGCTTTGCCCCAGTTGCTCACCCTCATGGCTAGTTCTGTGTCCTGCAAGGTTTATTGTTGCTGAACTTGGCTGCAGATATCCTGGTTGGAGTGGGGTTGGGCTGCTTACTGCAGATGACAAGCAGCCAGTCTGTGGTAAAGGTAAGGCTGTCTGTAAGACTTCAATTGCACCTGTCTGTGGGGAACAGGGAGACTTGTCTGGATTGTACTTACCTCCTCTAAGCAGTGTTAGATAGCATGGGGAGATGTGTCTATGTTAAAGCTTCCACCATGACAGAGGGGGGACAGTGAGAGGCTGTTTTCCCTCAGGGTGTGAAGTCAACGTAAGTCTGTTTAACAAAAGCAGATGAAGTCACAGCTGAAACGGGAAGGGGAGGCTATTTCTACAAGTTAAGCAGTGCCTGACATTTGATAGAGGCATCATAGTGGCCAGTGTGCAGAATCCCTTTTCATGGAGCCTGACACAGCATCTGTTTCTGGCAGTTGGATGTGGTGTGGAAACATAGATGAGTGGTGTAGTTTGTATTGTCAGCCTTTCACTAGATGGTACCACTTGCTTCTGGCCAACAGAATAAACAGAGACAGGGACAGTGACAGTGCTGGTTTTAATAAGCGATAAGAACTCACTAACTCTTGTCTTCCTTCTCAGCTGGAGCCAGATGGCCTTTTAATGTGGATCCTGGCTGGGGCACTGGGGCTTAGCGTAGTATTTTCCTTTGTGTCAGTGCCAGCACAGTGCTTCCACCTGGGCAAAGCGTACGGCATCTGCCTCCTCATCTACTACCTGGCTTTCCTCACGGTGGCTTTGCTGACAGAATTCAAGGTGATTGAGCTTACCACCCTCTGAAAGCAGTGCTGCAAGAGGATGTCCAGCCACTTGATACCACCTATGGTGAGGAGCTTGGGATGGGTTTCAGAGCTCGCAGGTCTCAGACCGAGTTGCTAGTCATGAAGAAGCAAGACCTGGAGGTGGGAAAGTCCAGTCCTCGTGCCGCCATTGTGGGATGCTCAACTGCCAGGTGACTTTCGACGTTCCCTGGCTGGACCCATTCAGTTCCTTCTCCAAATCACTGAAGGACACCCCACCCAAAGGGGACTCAGACCAAGTAACCCATCTTCCTTGTGAACACACCACCAAAACTAGCATTCATTTTTCTATCCTGAAGGCATTATGACAATCTGAATTTACTGCTAAGATGTAGCACACTTTGGATGTTAAGCTGGAAATGACCCTTCCACCCCAGGGAACTAGAAGCTGACTCAGCACGGGAAAAACAAAACAGTGCTGCTCAATCCACACATCCTCCAGCTCAGGGGCTGCCCAACCAAATGAGAACCGGGAGCCACCTGTCAAGCCATCCTGCTGGCACTCCACAGTCAGTATTAATTGTTCCCATTCATTTTTTATGGAAAGGGATTGGTCAGAATAGGAACCATTTTTAAAGAGACTGTTTTAAAAGGAAGGTTTTGAACAGGGATCATTTTAAGTGACTGCGGTCCTCAGAGGAATTTTGCAGCTGCACAGAAAGGACTTTTACACACGAAAATTCCGTTTTTATAGTTTTTTATTCCTTCCACTGATTTTATTTCCTCCTTCCCTTTAATACCTCTCACCCCAGCTTCCCCTGTGGAGAATAAAGCAATCAGCATTCACTTCACAATCATGCAAACTTGTGAAATAACGGTTTCAGTGCAACTTTGGGCATGTTTGCACTACACAAAGGGTATGTTCTTAACTTGGGTTAAAACAGCAGCAAAGAAAGTAATGTGGAATTAGCCACTTGAGTTCCCATTCAGGATCCCCAGTATGTCAATGTGAATATTTTCTCTATGGGGAAATACTTGGTACTCTATTGGTTTACACACACAACCTTTTTGCCTTTGGAATCCTAGGCTCAGATGCTGTACGAAAAAGTCAAATAAACACAGGTCAGTGATCTTTACCTGGTGTCCAGTGCTAATGCAACACAGAGCACAATGGATTCTTGGTCCATGACAGGGGCCTTCTAGCAGTCACCGCAATACAAATAATACTGAGTAAAGATTGTTCGTCCATTGTTGTTGTCTGGATTTGACTTAAACAGTCTGCAGCAGTATTAAAATACACGAGAGCACAGCATGCGATAGGGTGGTGCCAGAAACAGGCCAAAAGTCACACCACACAGGACTAATTACACTGAAACTGGCTTTAGTGCCAATGGGAAGAGAGCACTCCTCTTTTGATTAGTAAGGGATTCCTAAAATAGCAGCCATGTATGGAGAAGTCTGTCATTAAAAACATCCCCCTCTCCTGCTTAGTGAAAATTGTAGTCACAGGCTTTTTGCATCGGCACGCAACTGCATACACTAGTAATCTTTCCTTGTGTAACAGCAGTGGCCGGAAGCCTGGCAAAATCAACCAGTCCAACCACAGGCAGCACAAGCTGGAGAACACAGGAAGCAGGGAGGAAATAGTTGAGCCCAGACAGAAGCACTTTTCCTGGGGGGGGTCACAGCTGCTTCCACTGCCTGAAAATTAACTGCACAGTTAGAAACTACTATCAGATCCCAAACGCTCACAAAAAACAGAAATTTTAAGAGTGGTATTTCAGGACATTTTTTGAAGCATCTGACTAGGGAGCCTAGAGCCCATTTTAAAAAATGACTGAGGTGCTTGGTTTTCTCTCAGTCAACAGGATTCAGGGTTGGCAGTCATTTTTTTTTACAGATGTGACTTAACTGTGTTTGAAAATGTTATGTTAGTTGTCAAGGGACAGAGTGAGGTCACAGTGGCAGAAAGAGATCTTGGAGTCGTCACTGATTCTAAAATGAACATGGGCAGCCAATGTGAGGATGCAGTCAGCAAAGCTAACCATGCCTTGTCATGCATCCACAGGTGCATCACAAGCAGGTCCTAGGAGGTGACACTGGTCAGGCCACAGCTGGAGTACTGCGTCCAGTTCTGGGTGTCGCACTTCAGGAGGGATGTGGACAACATGGAGAGGGTCCAGAGGAGGGCCACTCACATGAACAGGGGGCAGCAGGGCAGGCCTTATGAGGAGAGGCTACAGGACCTGAACCTATTCAGCCTCGACAAGAGAAGGCTGAGGGGGGATCTGGTGGCCATCTATAAACTTACCAGGGGGACTAGAGGGGAATGGGTGAGACCCTGTTCTCCAAAGCGCCTCCCGAAGTAACAAGGAATAACGGCCACAAGTTGATGGAGAGTAGATTCAGGCTAGACATCAGGAGGCGCTACTTCACAGTCGGGGCGGCTAGGATCTGGAACCAACTTCCAAGGGAAGTGGTGCTGGCTCCTACCTTAGAGGTCTTTAAAAGGAGGCTAGATTTCATAGACATTAGGGGCTGGAAGGGACCTTGCAAGATCATTAAGTCCAGCCCCCCTGCCATAGGCAGGAAGTCTGCTGGGGTCCCAGCAAGATAAGCATCCAAATGCTTTTTGAAAGAGTCCAGAGTAGGTGCTTGCACCACCTCTGTGGGGGGGAGTCTGTTCCAGACACTGGACACTTGGGACCATTGTAGAAGTTTTTTCTTATGTCTAGTCTAAATCTGCCTTCCAGAAGTTTGTGGCAGTTAGACCTTTTTATCCCTTAGGGAGCCCTTGTGAACAACTGTTCTCCCAGATCCTGGTGCACCCCCCTTATGCAATTATAGGCTGCCACCAAGTGCCCCCTGAGCCGTCTCTTCTCCAGGCTGAAGAGTCCCAAGTCCCTCAGCTTCTCCTCATAAGGCTTACTCTCTTGGCCCTTGATCACGTGAATGGCTCTCGTTTGGACTCTCTCAAGCTTATCCACATCCCTCCTGAAGTGGGGGCTTGGGGTCATATGAGCTTAAACTTACCAGGGGTCATATGAGCCCAGTATTTATTTCTGCCCAGGGCAGGGGGTTGAGCTTGATGATCTGCTCAGCTCCCTTCCAGCCCTACCAACTATGAACCTATGAGGCTGGGGGAGAAATCTTGGCAAGGGAGTACACAGGATGTAAGATTACAGGGCAAACTAAGGATTTTGAATGCCTCAGTAGTTAAAATTACTACAGCTTTTAGAGTTAGATGTGTGGAGGGTTCAAGTGCTAGCATCTGCCATCTGATACAGTATGGAAGAGTCTCCTCCACCATCCTGCCACTCAGATTTGGTAATAATTCAACCACAGATCAATTCAGTTCTTCAATGTAGGAAAGAGGAGTAGAGGCTGCTGTCATTACAAAGCAGAGGATGTTTTTATTAGTGTGCCAGAAAATCTATAGAACCATGTACAGACATGTCCATAAAACCATTTATAAACAAAATGCCATCGTACAAAATCCTGCCTTGCTTCCTCCCTTGTCCCTACAAAATGATTGTCTTCTTGGTTAAGAGTAAGTCTCTGTCTACAAAAGGTACATGGAGGACAATTAGAAGGGGATGCCCCGTACTCAAACTTCCTTTTCCTTCCAGACTGTAAGTCATTTGGAAAAAGTAACCTTTTCAAACCTTATAAGTTCAAATAATAATACAGTGCATAATTTGGGGGCAGGTCAGTTTTTCAGCAATAAGGTCATGGAAAGCAGGAGTGGCAGTTTAGCTCCAAAACAGATCTCAGAGCATCACTTGTCTCATATTAAGTAGGCAAATCTATCTTTCATACAGCTCAAAGCTGTTAGCTCCTTTCCCACCCAGGAATGGAAAAAAACCTTGAGTGATCAATAAGAGAAGAGTGGATTTTCCCACACTGCCAGATTTGATTTTAACCTGTACTATTCTGGCACATTCCATCCTGTAAGAAACCGAGAAGGGGAAGCTATATACTTCCACAGCATCCAAAAATGACTAACGGAGTGTAAAACACTGGCACTGGGGAGTCTATGCGTAGATGTGCTCAAGGATGTTCATTACTTAGTGGTCTGGGTGTGTTTGGATACTGGTCCCATTCTTCACAGTTAAGCTCAGAAGGGCTCAGAAATCATTGATAACCCTACAATCCACTGTACCCATACAGAAAGTGAAAATATTGAGCACCCAGATGAAAGAATTCAACAGTGCAGCACCAAGGACAGATTGCATGCACTGGATACAGGTGAACCAACTATTGTGTAGACCACCCACCCCTTAAACTGATCAGAATGTTTCTGTCCTCTACACATGCAGGAAATTTTCAAAGGACATGTGCTTTAGTCACTCACAAGTCACTGGGACTTGTGCTTTAAGTCATTAAGGCACAGTTGAAAATCCCACCATGGTTTTCAGTAGCAGTGAGAAAATGGCATCCAGATGTCCACTACAGCCAAGCTGTGGAAATCTATCACCCCCTTCCCAGTACACTCAACATGTTTTTTAGTTTAGGGCAGGGGGTCTTCAGCCAACAAGCAACTGCATTTGGCCTGTGCAGAGCAGCATAATTAGGGGTAGATGACAGGCTCATCTCCCTTTGCTGTCCAGTTCTAGCTTTTTTGCAATGCCACCTGCTCGCTCTCTCACACCCCCTTACTACAGCCACCACTTCTTTTACCAAATTTGTCGCTTGAGGCAGTTGGTGACAGGGGCAAAGGGTGGAGGCTGCAGTAGCAGGTGTGAGAGCAAAAGGTCAGTCCTTGGCATACATACAGCAGGGAGGACTGGGGCACGGGGTGGCAGCATTGGCTGGATCTTGCCTGGTAACCTGCCTCTGGAGCAGGCTACCTTATTTTTGGCCCAGCTGCTCCTTAAAGTTTGCCAAGCCCTGACTTAGGGCAGTGGTTTGATGGGCAACAAACTCAGAATGTAAAAGGAGAATTAACTTTGAAAACAAACTTATGCCCTTTGGTTTACCTAAAGGACAGAGGCAGTCTTTTATCTGGGTGTGGCTTAATTTGGAGAGAGCAAAGATTAAGGTGATGGGCATGGCAGCTTCTAATACACATTTTGCCAATACATCCCATGCACAATACTTTCCAGAGATCCAAAAAGAGTCCTTTATTAGAAATGACTATTCCCACTATGTGGGCAGAACAGCACACAGAGATTAAGGAAATTGCTCAGGGTCAAGAAGGAACTCAGCGACAGAGCTGGGAATAGAAGATACTTCTTTCAGCCAAGGAGACCTCCCCCAAGGAGTCTTCCTGTATGATACAGAAAGGCATACCACACATTTTCTCCACACTTCTCTGAACTAAGGAGAGAGTAGGAACAGCAAAGGACCAGGTCTCTGTCCCCCAGTCAGTCAATGTTTGTCACCTTTGGGAATATTATTGCCAAGTGAGCCAGGGAAGAGTAAAGTGCCCATATGCGTGTTTTGTCACTACTCTGGTGCCGTAAGAACCCCTCCATTTGCAAGGCCAAGGCCAAGAAGAGCACAGGACCAGGCCCAGATCTTCCATTACAAAGCAAATGGTTGAACAGCCAGGGCTGAGAACCGCAGCGAGTGCTGTGGACCTCCCATCCCACCTCGTAAGATGGTGAGCGTTTTGGACTCTGGCAAATTGCTCCCAGCCCTGGCCAGCCCAGATAATCAGTACTGAACCCCAGGAGCACACTACTCCAGGAAAGATATCTCCAGAAGTTGCATCAAATCTTGTAACTTTTAGTCATGCCCTGTAGACCTGCTGGAGTGCAATTCTGATGCTCAGCCACCACAGAAGGGGCTGGATTAGCTGCCCATGATTGGGCTGTTATCAGGACTGCCTCAAGATGCATCAGTAAGCACAGAGATTTAGACCTGGATTAGTTTTACATTTAAGTGCTAAACTTTTCATCCAGCCCATCTGGCTTTATACCAGGTGGGGAAAGAAATACAAACTTACTCCCTGATTTTTTGAGTCGAGAATTAATGATTCACTGAAAGAAAATATATTTAATGAGGCAGGACTTGAATATTAGCAGGTGAGTTCAGCATTTTTTCCTTTTTCCAAAAGATTAAGCATCCCTTCCCTCTGGTTTCTTTTCTTACTGGCATGATGAACTGTAGGCCTGTGCCTGGAAGATGGAGAGGTACCATGACTGAATACTCTGTATTAGATGCTCACAACTGCAGTAATTTGAGCTTGCTGAAGAAGATTAAACATGATTCTTGGGTTCCAGCAGTCCTAATCCAAGTCCTCTG